TAAGAATCACAGTTAGGGTTTAAGCATTCAGAAAAAACTGTAAAACATGCACACTTTGCATTGTCTCCACCTGCTGACAGATAGATGTGATTCCATATTAGATTCTTGATGAATGTGGGTTGTTGTGACTCAGCCTGGTTAATTTTGAGCACCCCCCCCCACACACCCTAGCTGAGCATTGCTTGACTGCAGCAGCATGTGGACTGCCACCATGAAATGTCTTTACTGCCTGCTTCCATTGAACCTTCAGCCTCTCTTGCATCATCTTCTCATGAAGCCTAACCTTAAAACGATAGTATATAGTGTTTTGAAAACCTAGTCCTCTGCAGCCATCTAGTGTTCCTATTGCTCACTGCATGGTCCCTGTTCAGAGAACGTGTATGTGTGAGGATCTACCAGCAGGTGGCAGCAGTGGATTAGAGTAAAGAGCCTTTGGGAGCTGCTAACCTTTGACTGTGTCTGCATATTTTGTTGTCAAGCTTTGTATGCTATGCTGATATCCTTCTCTCTGTTCTTTATCACTCTTGAGTTTTCTCTCCTAACTGCTGATGAGGTGTTTGCATTGATAAACGTTTGGTTTACTTGCTACATGTGAAGCTGATAAAAGGCTTCATTGTTAAATGGTGGCTTTGCCTTCAAACAGCCACACAAAGAACGACAAGTTTCAACTGATATCAGTCAAACAAATGTGGTAACATGCTCGAGTAATAAAAGAACTATTGTGTGTGCCATTATACGCTTGTATAATATGACCTGCAGGACAGTCTGTGTGTCTGTGTGTGGAGCATTAAGTCACGTTTTTCTTTGGTTCCTACTGTAGAAACTGTGCAAGTTGCCACTTGTGTGAAGGTGCAGGTAGTGTTCATTAAATGAGTTTCAGTGCAGCCTGAGAGCACTTTGCTCACAGCTTAAAGTATTGCTTTCACCTCTCGTTCAGTTTGCGACACCTTTCTTTTGTCAGACTGAACAGACTTGTAGATCGCTGCTTTTTTGCGCTTAAAGCGTAAATTAAAAGGAAAACGATTTTCTCATTATTCACTTCTGAGATTGTAGTTTCCCAAGATGTTACGCAAGTTCTAAAAATCGAATGTGGAACTGCTCTTTTACAAATAACACCACCCAAGGCAAAAGTCACGTTCAAAGTTCAAGGAAACAGGGAAAAACCTGTGGGGGAAAACACCGACACCGTGTTAATAATAGAAGAAAGGTGTTGCTGTTTCACTCCTTCATAACCAGCAGTTGGAAGGGTGAGGGGACATTACTTAAAAAAAATAAATAAATAAATTCAGATTTTATGAAGGTTCAAAGTTTGATTGACAGGCATCCCTAAAGATGCTGCAGCAGCCTTTAACTGTCCGCTTCCCCTGCTTTCACTAATTAAATGAAAATGTCCAAGAGGTTCAGGCTTTAGTTTAGTCAGCCTTTGTGACTGCAACATTGTCTTTTGGGCCTCAGTAAGGACAGGAGGTACGTTGAATAATCTCTTTAGATCGAAGAGAAAATATGAATGTATGAGATGAGCAACTGATCTAAATGTGACACAGTGCAAACGAGAGCTCATAACGTCTGACTACATGACTTTTCCCTTTGATGTTTAGTGATTAAAAGAAGTGAGAAGAGGTCATATTTTGGGTCAACACAGCATTTTGGAACAATTAACTTAACTTAACTTAACGGATACAGCACAAACCACTGAGTAATTATGAGTCAACAATCAGTCTTTCAGTCGAGCACAGAACTCGTTACAACCTGACACGTTTCTTAATAACTGTCTTTGAACTTTAAGTTGTGCTTCGTCCTCGGATGACCTGACCTCACCTGCAAGTCAGGCACTTTTTATATTGAAGCTAAGTACCCCACAGCATCATGCAAGCTACTGCACACCCCCATCCCTCCATTTTCC